ATTATAGGCGTGAGCCAGTGGCACGTGGTTGTACTGTGTTTCTGATTCTAACTTCAGTCTTGAAGATCCAGGTCTGTGTCAATAAACTCTAGCCCTGCTATGATGGAGGCCTAGAGGATTTGACGATGCTATACTTTCTGTGGCATTCTTCTTTACCAGGTGGCGGTCTCATGCCTAAATGCCTGACCCGTGACCAGGTGTCACTCACAGGCAGTTCACAAAGCAGGTGCTTTGTGGTTCTCGTCTTGCCTGTGTCCAGTTTGTTCTCACCAGGACAGTCATTTGCTAGAACAGGCCTGACCAGGAGGAGAGCAAAGTTCAGGTGTGTGGGTCACAAGAGATACACAGAGGAAGTGACTCATCAAAACACATAGAAGGTGGTACGCCCAGTGGCTCAAGCCGATAATCCTAGCTACTCGGGAGGCTCAGATCTGAGGATCATGGTTCAAAACCAGCCCGGACAGGAAAGTCCATGAAACTCCTATCTCGAATAAACCACCAGAAAAGTGGAAGTGGCTCAAGTGATAGAGTGCTTGCCTTGATCTGAAGAGCTAAGGGACAGTGCCCAGGCTCAGTGTTCAAGCCCCATGACCAACAACAGCAACAACAACAAAAAACCACATAAAATACAAGAAGCAGTGTAGTACTACAGACCCCAGGGTCTAGTAGGAAGGGGCTAGTAGGAAGGGGAAAACATTAACCAATAGCCAGGGGTTCGGGAGTGGAAGAGCTTCGGTCAAAGTCCACAGTGGGACCAAGGCATTCTTCATGTAGTCTACTTGTGAGGAGTTCTAATTAAGAGGTCGTTGCTACAGCCCATCTGCAAGATTCCATACCTATGGAGGCCAGTAGAATTGGATCACACAGGTTGTACCTACCTCTCTCATATGGGGGTGGTCCCAAGAAGGGTAGCTCCTTCAGGACAGATATCTGAAATGGAAAAGAAACACTCGCCTTTCCCCTGACAGCCAAATCTTAAAACTGTCCTTACTGCTGGCTACACTGAATCATTTTCTCTCCTTATCTCCCTGAACAAAAATACCCAGCAGTTTTAGAAGAGAGCCTGAGATTTACTTCACTTAATATAATTTTTTCCAAGTCTTTCCATTTCCTAACAAATGGGGTGATCTCATTCTTTCTGGTGGAGGCATAGAATTCCGTGTATGTGTGTGTGTGTGTGTGTATGTACCACATTTTCTTTTTGGGGGGGGAGGGGGAGTCTGGTTGTGGGGCCTGAACTCTGGGCCTGGGCGCTGTCCCTCAGCTCTTCAACTCAAGGCTAGCGCTCTACCACTTGAGCCACAGCACCACTTCCAGCTTTTTTTCTTTTTGCTTATGTGGTGCTGAGGAATCAAACCCAGGGCCTCATGCATGGAAGGCAAGCGCTCTACCACTGAGCTACCCCTATACAACATTTTCTTGATCCATTCATCTACTGAAGGGTATCTGGGTTGGTTCCATATCTTAGCTATGGTAAATAATGCTGTGATAGACATAGTTTTAATATGGCCTTCTTTGTGATCATTTGGGCAAATGCCCAAAAGTGGGATTGCTGGGTCATAGGGGAGCTCTATGTGGAGTCTTTTGAGAAACCTCCATACTGCCTTCCAAAGTGGTTGAACAAGTTTACACTCCCACTAACAATACAGTAGGGTTCCCTTTGGGCCATATCCTTTCCAGCCTCTATTGTTATTAGATGTCTTGATTATGGCCATTCTAACTGGAGTGAGATGATATCTCAATGTTGTTTTGATTTGCATTTCTTTTATGGCTAGAGAAGTTAAGCATTTCTTCATGTGTCTATTGGCCATTCTTATTTCCTCTTCAGAGAAGTCTCTCTTTAAGTCTTTTAGCCCAGTGAAGTAAGCCAGACCCAAAGAAACATAGGTCCCATGGGTCCCCTTATCTGCAATAACTAGTATATGTCTAGAACAAGCAAAAGAAGCCAAAAGTCATACATACATATGACCCTATAAGCTGATGCTAAGTGAAATGAACACCAAGATAGGGACACAAGAGATTTTATCTTTCTTGCTGTTCTTGTAAATGTACTTATAATGTACTACGTGATTTTTTTTGTCTCTTTGTTTGTTCTTCCCCCATGGTATAACCCCTGTTGTCACTGTATTTGATTCTGGTGTCCTGCATCTTATATATACAATTTTCTAATTTGGGGAGGGGAAGGGAAATAATAAAATGCTGAAATAAGGATACAGGATGACCCATTCTAACAATGAGGCGTACAAGACACTATGTTGAAAACGGACTTTACAACTTTGTGGTGGGGGGGGAAGAGGGAAGAGTTGGGGAGGTGGAGAGGGAAGGGATGGTAGGAGAAAAACGAAGGAGGGGCTAACAATGCTCGTAAGGAAATGGACTCATTACCTTGCTCATGTTACTGTAACCCCTCTGTACAGTATCTTTACAATAATATATATAAAGGCACACAAATAAACTATTGAAATACTTAATGGAGAAGAAGGAGGAGGAGGAGGAGGAGGGGGGGGGAGGATGAGGAGGAGGAGGAGGAGGAGGAGGAGGAGGAGGAGGAGGAGGAGGAGGAGGAGGAGGAGGAGGAGGAGGAGGAGGAGGAGAAGGAGAAGAAGAAGAAGAAGAAGAAGAAGAAGAAGAAGAAGAAGAAGAAGAAGAAGAAGAAGAAGAAGAAGAAGAAGAAGAAGAAGAAAGCCTGAGACAAAGGCACATTGGGCACTGATGCCCCTGACAAACACAGATGCTCCTTGAGACCTTGAAGCAACTTGGGCAAAATAACACTTCTCTCCCACCCCACCTCCATCTCCCCCCACTTCTATATGCTCCACCTGACTTCACTTTTTCAGCCTAAAAGAATGAAACCCCCTTGGAAAGGGGAACATGTCACTTTTTCTTCAGCCAGGCTGCAGGAAACGAGGTTACCCTTCTCAGGCTTCCAGCCCAATAAAACCTGTTGGTCTGTTGAGTTCGCTTTTCAGCTCTTTTCTTTACTCATACTCCCAATATTCTAAACTAATATCCTTACTGGATTAACCCTAGTGAGGAGCTGTAAGGAAGGAAGGCTGAACATTGGAAATTGTGTCAAAGCTAACTGGGCCCTGATATGGATCCTTGAATGCCAAAAAAACCCATAAAAATCTTAGGAGCTCACTGTAACCTATGAACACAGACAAAGGATATAACCAAGCACTGGGACCAGTGCTCATTTTAAAGATGACAGATCTAGAGGCAGAAAGACATTTCCAACTTCATTGTGCTACTCTGGACAGAGGCTATAGAAAAGCACCCGCTGTTTGATTTCGGATCTGCAACCCAGACAATGAGGAGGAAGGAGTGTGGATGGACAACTCAAGTATCTGAATCAATTTGCAGCACAAAATTAGAATTAGACTTCAGTATTGTGGAATCCTTCCAAGCCTTGTGTTATTGTGTGGCAATAGTCACTATGAGACAGTTCCCAAAACAAGAGATCTGGCATCTCGGTAGCTTCATATAACACACCTGAAAAAGTTGGCCAGACAGCTCTTACCCAGGTGTCCTGTTTCTGGCAGGAGGTATCATAGTAACAGTCAAGCCTCAGGAGAGCAAGGGAACACCACAGACTGTGTAGACAATTTGTAGCCAACTACTGGAGAACCACATAGATTCTCTATCGCCAGAACAGTAGCCAACCCCCACTGCCCAGAATGCATCCTGGGTACCACCCAAATGCAGCAGCAGCTCGGGACTTGTCTCCCTTTGTATTCACACCAGAAGTAAATAGGTCTGGAGAACAAGTAGAAATGCCATCATCACAGTCCCTGTCAACTGCTGAGTGGCTCATGTATCACCTCCACACCAGGACTTTACATATGCTGGTTTGTCCAGGGTGCCCAACAACCCTAAGGGGAGCTAATACTGTTGTTCATCTTCTTTTGACAGATCTGAAAACTGAAGCTCGAAGAGCATCAATAACCTGATCACAAGCAGTGATGAAATTTGGCAGATTGTAGAGTTCAAATCTATGCGGTCCTAACCCAAGGCTGCTCGATCCAGGCTCCACTGACATTGGGACAGACCTGTCTGAGCTATGAGAGCTAACCTCTCAGGAAAGATGTTCAGAAACGTGCCTGCGGTGTCCTGGGGAGCACCAGTACCCCGAACTCTCACCCACAATGCATACAGACATCACTAGACATCTCCGGGGAGGGAAAGTCTTCCCTGTTGGACATTTGCTGCTCCCTTTCCTGAGTAGCGAGGTGGGAGTCACAGCATCTGTCATTTGTTTTTGTCGATGGTGGGGCCTGAACTCAGGGCCTGGGCACTGTCCCTCAGCTCTTCAGCTCAAGGCTAGCGCTCTATCACTTGAGCCACAGCACCACTTTGGGCTTTTTTTCTGCTTATGTGGTGCTGAGACATCGAACCCAGGGCCTCATGCATGCAAGGCAAGCACTCTGCCACTGAGCCAAGTTCCAACCCCCAGCATCTGTCATTGTAGTCTTCAATGAAGGTTGTGAATGTAGTTGCAAACAGCAGTAGCAACTGTTGAGCTGATTGAGGAAGGCAAGAGAGTTCAAGTCTTCCCGTGTGGGTGTCAAGGGCAAACCTCTTTAACCACTCATTCTATAGATACTGAAGATTCAGCCTCTTGAAATAAAACAGTACATACAAAACAAAGATTACTGCCCTTCCCTCACTGAAATTATGTCCCTTCCCTCACGGAGATTATGTTCCACAAGACAATCCACAGACAGGAGAATTTTACAGGATATATTAGAGCGAGCTCAAGGGTGCAGGGATTTAGTAGCAATTCCAGGTTTTAAGCCTGCTGCGTCTTGAGCTTTCTTTTGACAGCTGGATGCACCACTTTCTCATCTGCGTGTGACCTGATGTAGAATCAACCACACCTACACCTGAGTTTCCTACTCATCTGGGCTGGGTCATATAAAGGAAACAGTGTGCCCAGACCTCATCCTAAAAAGTCTACCCCGAGCATAGCTGCTGCTAGACTTTCTCCTGGGGGAAGAAATATGGTGTTTCTGGTCCTGGTCTTCCTTGCAACTGCTTGTGTGTGCTGGCTGGGAGTGGCACTGTGGGTGATCTGTAGACAGCTTTTCACCGAATACATCCCCAAAGACATTGGCCACCCAGTGAAATTGAGGATTTTCAGTTCTGTTTTCCAGCTGGCATTAACATGGGTGAGTTTTGTGCTTCATGATCTCTTCCTGAGGGTGAAGGAGGGAGTTGGGGAAAATTACTTAACAGAAGCTTCTAGGTGAATTAACTAAACACAGGTAGCACGAAGAATGTGGCTAAGATTGATGACAAATTCATCTGTAGTTGGTGTGATAATTATTATTATCATTTTTATTATTATTATTATTCTTTTTTTTTGTTTTTGTCGGTTGTGGGGCTTGAACTCTGGGCCTGGGCGCTGTCCCTCAGCTCTTCAGCTCAAGGCGAGTGCTCTACCACTTGAGCTACAGCGCCACTTCCAGTTTTCTGGTAGTTTATTGGAGATAGGAGTCTCACGGTCTCTCCTGCCCGGGCTGGCTTTGAACCACGATCCTCAGATCTCAGCCTCCTGAGTAGCTAGGATTACAGGCGTGAGCCACCAACGCCCGGCTCTTATTCTTATTCTTATTATTATTATTATTTTGGTCTGGTCGTGGAGCCTGAACTCTGGGCCTGGGCGCTGTCCCTCAGCTCTTCAGCTCAAGGCTAGCGCTCTACCACTTGAGCCACAGCACCACTTCCAGCTTTTTTCTTTTTGCTTATGTGGTGCTGAGGAATCAAACCAAGGGCCTCATGCATGCAAGGCAAGCTCTCTACCACTGAGCCACCTTCCCAGCCCAAGGTGTGATTTTTTTTTTGTGTTTGAACTCGGCCCAGGCAATATCTCAGCTTATTATGATGATGATGATTGCCAGTCCTGTGGCTTGAACTCAGGGCCTGGGCACTGTCCCTGAGCTTCTTTTGCTCAAGGCTAACACTCTATCACTTGGGCCACAGTGCCAATTCCTGCTTTTTCAGTTTATGTAGTAGAGGAACTGAATCCAGAGCATGCTAGGCAAGTACACTACCACTGAGCCGGATTTCCAATCCCTAGCTTATTTTTTTTTAATCAAGGCTGACACTCTCCCACTTGAGCTACGACCCCACTTCCAGCTTCTTCCTTAGGAAATAGGAGATAAGAGTCTCATGGACTTTCCTGCCCAGGATGACTTCAAACAGGAATCCTCAGATCTCAGCCTCCAGTACCCAAGATTACTGGTGTGAGCCACTAGTACTTGACTGATAGCACATTCTGAGCTGCATAATCCCTCTCAGGTGGTTGGTTCCAGCCTCTTCTGTGTTCTTGAAGTTGGACTTGGATAATAGCCACAAAATTCAAAGGATGATTCACTCTCATGTGTCAGTCAATGTCCTATGACTGTAACAAAATACCCAAGCCAATAAATTTACAAAGGGAAAGTATTCATTTTGATTCATAATTTCAAAGATTCTGGTCCATGATTTGTTGGCCCAAAGTATATGGTGTGTGACTGAACTAAACACCTCATATGTCAGGGGGAGAAAGAGGAAGAGGAAACTGCTGAGGTTCTATTGTCCTTTTAAGCCACACCTCAATAACCTAAAGACCTCTCACTGGGCCACACCTCCTGAAGGCTCTCCTAGTAGTGCCACTCTGAGAACCAAGGCTTTAATACATGGGTCTTTGGGGGCATTAGCATCAAAACTATAGCAGTCAGTTAAGTTATCCCCTGTTTATACCTCACCATGCTTTCTAGCCCTCATCAGTCTGTATGGTAAAATGAAGCTTTTTTTTCCAGTTACTGAGGACTTGGTAGCTAGAATCAGCAAGCATAAACAGGTAACAACTTAGATTAACATAAAGAGATGAACAAGACTGCCGACTTACAAAAAAATCTGCTTTTTCTTTTAGAAGATAGAAAACTGTTTAGGTAATATGGTAGTCTCTTTCTGTTTGGGGGGTTTTCTTTTTGGTTTGGTCTATTTTGTATGTTTCTGTCAGCCATGGGGCTTGAACTCAGGGCCTGGGTACTTGCCTTAGCTCGTTTGCTCAAGGCTAGTGCTCTACCACATAGAGCCACAGCCCCACCTCTGGTTTTCTGGTGCTAAGAGTCTTATGAACTTTCCTGCTCAGGCTGGCTTTGAACTGCAACCCTCAGATCTCAGCCTCCGGAGTTGCTAGGATTACAGGTGTGAGTCACTAGCGTCCGGCTCATTCTGTTTCTTGTGCCCGGCATGTGTCATTTATTGAAACATTTGCAAAGAGACTATAGTGAAAACTCAGCACATCATGCCCAGAAATTAAAAACCGAAAATATTTTTTCATTCCTTACACAGCAAAAAATGACTGCAAGTGCAGTACTCCTACCAGGAGAACTTCAGTCAGAGAGAAGAGCATCTGCTGTTATGTCTTGACCAGGTCTGGTATTCCTGACCAGGTCTGGTATTCCTGACCTTGACTCTCATAATTCCATAGTCCAGATTCTCAGTTACAATGACTTGGTTTCATCTGTAGAGAAACAGAGCAGCCCCTACTTCATGGCGTGCGTTGAGTTGCCTGGACGGTGTGTCACATCTGTCAGTGACCCCTCCATGCATACTCTCCACAAGCACTATTTGTTGATTTATGCGGCAATCGAGGTGTTATACAACTACTTTTTGTCACGGTCCTGGACTTGAGTTCCATGGAGAGAGACAGAGACAGAGGGACCCTTCCTAAGGCAGGGTATTACCTACACAGAGCTTGAAACCTCATCTCATAAAGTGATAGTAGGGGGCCAATCCATGAACAAGGAACCCCACACAAAGATAGGTTACAAGTAAATAGTTTCACACCGAGGCCAGTGCTAGTGGGAAAGCACAGCAGAGCAGAATGAGAACTGGGCCTTTTCACTTTGGATTCCCTGAGTCTATAGAGAACAGAATGCAAGAGGCCCATGAATTGGGAGAAGGCCCATATGACCCCTATTTGCACCACAAATCTCTTACTGGAATGTAGTCAATGTTTCCATTTTCCTAAGATACAACACTGTCGTCACATCAGGGCTGCAACTTGGCCACCAAGAATAATAGAGATGTTGTCATGGTATCTTTATTTCATCTATTGTGGATCTGGCAAATGCTGAGACTCAGCTACTAGTGAGACTTGGCTAGTACTGAACTGCATATCAGATCTCTCTGCATTTCCTATTTACCCTCAGGAAAGCAAATATGTGATTTGATCACATTTACGTCAACAGTGTGATGACTATATACAAATGAAATTGCCAGCTGGGCACTGTGGTGACTCATACCTGTAATCCCAGCTACTAGGAGGCTGAGATCTGAGGATCATGGTTCAAAGCCAGCCCAGGCAGCAAACCCTGAGACTCTTATCTCCAATTAAATCACAGAAAAGGCTAGACGTGGTGCTGTGGTTCAAGTGGTGGAGGGTAGCCTTCAGCAAAAGCAGCTCAGGGACAACAAAAACAAAAAACAAAACAAAATAAATGAAATGGTCTTCCTTGATAAAGCCATGAATTTTATATATTCAAATTTTTCTAGCTGGCCTGCAGTGGCTCACACCTGTAATCCTAGCTATTCAGGAGGCTGAGATCTGTTCAAATAAACCAGTGTGGGCAAGAAAGTCCATGATATTCTTATCTCTAACCACCAAAAAGCCAGAAGAAGTGAAGTTGTGGCTCAAGTGGTAGAGCACAAAAGCTCACAGGAGCCTCATGGAAGAGCCAGGGTTCCTCATAGAGAGATCCTTGATGGGTGGCCAGAAGCCTGGTGTGACATATGTGTGTGATGTATTTGTGAGCTGAGAGAGTGGGTGGAGACTGGCTTAGTGGGTGTGGCTTCTGTTGCAGCTGTGATGAGGATGCTGAAGGAAGTGAGCAGAGAGCCCTGGTCTAGTTGAAGTTCTCAGTCCTTCCTTGCCCTCTGTGGCATGCAGCTATGAGGGCTGGATTCCTGGTGACATGCAAAATGTCTCATACAGAGTCCTTTCTCACTCATTCCCTCTTCTCTCTCCAACAGGGAAGAATTCTTGAGAAACTAAGAATCTGTTCTGCACCCCAATTTGTCTGTTTCTTACACGATCTATGCCCCTTAAAAAAGGATGCACGTGTTATGGTCACAGATCTTCACTTTGGAACAATCCCTGTGAAGCTGTACCAACCCAGGGCAGCTTGTGACACACCCAGGACCGGCATTGTCTTCTACCATGGTGGTGGGACCATCCTGGGGAGCTTGAGTAAGAGTCTTTTGCTTTCTTCTGGCCTCCTGAAGTACCTGCAAACAGAACTTGAAAGAACTGTGATCCTCCCAGACAGAAAGTTCATGATGAGGACTGTGAACAACAAAGTAGTTAGTGGGTTCCAGAGTATTCAGATGACAGAGATATGAAATGGTTCTGAGCTCTTCTTGTATGTATGTGTGTGTATGTGTATAGTATATATACTATATATAATAGAATATGTGTGTGTATATTCTCATTTGATATAAATGGAGTTATCTATAGAGACATAGATATAGACATATAAATCAGATATAGATACAGATGAAAAGAGAGAGAGAGAGAGAGAGACTTCCCTCCTTCCTCAGTATGGATGAGTTCCAGAAATCCTGGCTGATACTTAAGTACTGCCAAGTACTAAAGTCACTTATATAGGATAGCATAATAAGCCAGGCAAAGTAGCACATGCTTGTAATCCCAATACTCGGAAAGCTGAAGGTAGGGGACCAAGAATTCAAGGCCTGCCTAAGATATAGAGTGCAACCCTGTCTCCCAGAAAAAAGAAATCCCACATTGGGCACTGGTGGCTCACACCTGTAATCCCAGCTACTCAGGAGGCTGAGATCTGAGGGTCATGGTTCAGAGTCAGCCCAGGCAGGAAAGTCCATGTGATTCTTATCTCCAATAAACCACAAAAAGAGAGGAAAACCCTTACATCTTCCCATATACTCACATCACACCTGCATGATTTATAATATCCAGAGCAATGTGAACACCTAATCACTAAATATATGAATAGCTGTCAAACAATTTTGTTTAGGGAATAATGTTAGATAAAGAACTCATTTGTGGCTGGGTGCCAGTGGCTCACACCTGTAATCCTAGCTACTCAGGAGGCTGAGAGCTGAAGATCACGGTTCAAAGCCAGCCGGGGCAGGAAACTCCATGAGACTCATCTCCAATAGACCACTAGAATACCGGAAGTGGCGCTGTGGCTCAAGTGGTAGAGCGCTAGCCTTGAGCTGAAGAGCTGAGGGACAGCGCCCAGGCCCAGAGTTCAAGCCCCATAAAGATTTGAAGAACTCATTTGTGTTCATTGAAGATGCACCATTTTTTTTTTCTTTTTCCATCTATAGTATGTTTAATCTGCAGATGTTGGAATCCATGTATTGTGTGTGTGTGTGTGTGTGTGTGTGTGTGTGTGTGTGTGTATGTGTTTCTGTCAAAACAAAAAGAGAAGCAGAGATAGGTTGGAGGGAAGAAAATTCAAGAGTCAAAATTCAAAATGGAGACAGTTTATCTTGATTAACCTCTGAGGGGGTTGGGGAGAATAGCTTTATAGTCTCATCTGTGCTTTCTACTTTCTCTGTAAAAGTCATGGGGTGAGGCGGGGGGGGGGGGGGGGAGGGCGGGGAGAGGTGCGAGGGTCTACACATGCTGCCAGTCCTGGCACTTAAACTCAGGGCCCCTTTCACTCTCGATTAGCTTTCTCCCTCAAGGCTGGCACTGTACCACTTGAACTCCAACTCTACTTCTGGTTCCTTTTGGGTAATTAGAGATCAGAGTCTCGTGAGCTTTCCTGCCCTGGTTGGCTTCAAATTGCCATCCCCAGATCTCAACCACCTAAGCAGCCAGAATCACAGGTGTGAGCCACCTCTCTATTCATAACCAGTGGTAGGCCAGATTGTCATATTGGTCAGCAGCAGTCAGTGAGATGGAGGAGGAAGTTTGCTACAAAGCAAATTAAATTAGCCAAACCTAGTCAGAGTGCCCCCCCATCCCCCCCCCCCCCAAGTACTCCGCCTATAAGAAGATGGCCCATGACAGCTGAGATAGAAAGCCTACCTGGTAACTGTGACAACCTTTTTCTTTTCCAGAAATTTACAATGACATCTGCCTACGCTTGTGCAAGGAGAGTGGCTCTGTGGTCCTGTCCGTTGGGTGAGCAAGGGAGGGTGGAAGTGGTTTGGAATGGAGTAACAGGGCAGGAAGATGATAGGGGAGACGAGGGAAATGAAGGAGCCAGGGAGGAAAGGAAAAGGGGAGAGAGAGGAAATCGGAGCCAGGCACACCCTCCTCCATGCCCCATGGTCCTTGGGGATGTGGGAACAGAGGCCCCTCGATGCCCAGTTGTTTGGAAGTCAGCTAGGGCTCCATGCAGACATCTCTACGGGCCTACTTTTTGGTGGTTGGGGTGGGAGTAATTTTTTTTTTGGTGACAACTTGGCCTTGAACTCAGGACCTGGAGGCTATCCCTTAGTTTGTTTGCTGAATGTTGGAACTCTACAATTGAGCCACAGTCCCACTTTTGGCTTGTGGAGGTGGGGGATTAGTTAGAGGTAAGAGTCTCATGAACTTTGCTGCCAGGTCTAGCTTTGAACCATGATCCTGAGTACTGAGTAGCTAGGAATTACAGGTGTAAACCACGTATGCCCAACTGGGGTGGCAGCCTTGTTCTGAGCAGAACAGGTTTTTCATGTTACAGACATGTCCAGAGAGTTACCACCTAACACTAGAACCTCTAAGAGGGTTTGGTGGACACTGGGTGGGGCAAATGTAAGCTAGCTCAGCCCAGAACCTCTTGTCTGATGCTTGATTAATTGGCATCCAGAGAAGTCCCCTGAAAAGAAATGTTCTTGCAGGAAAAAAAAAGTGGTATTTTCTACGATTTCCAACCTTCAAAGGCATAAGCATTCATGAAAGTCAGTTACAAACTTTTACACATGCCCAGCTTTCTTATAAGTACCGCGCACTAACCGATTGCGCTACTAGAGCTCCGACATGCCCAGCTTTCTATAGTAAGAATAGTTCTGGAGAATAAAAAGTGAGGATGTACATACAGATGTGAGAGAGAGAGAGACAGGGAGAGAGGGAGAGAGAGAGAGAGAGAGAGAGAGAGAGAGAGAGAGAGAGAGAGAGGGAAGAGAGAGTCCTAGACAAAGTCCTTCCTTTACAGTTCTTGGTTCTATAATATAAGGGGAATATATAAGGGGAATGGAAGTCTCTGTCCAATTGCTGACCTCTTTTTTTAACTGTTCTGGTTGTACCAAACTAAGATATCATTGTAGCATTCTGATTTCCCAGTAAGATAAGACAGCACTCAGTCAATCTGGCTGGAAGCCTTTTATTAGTCACAAGGCAGCTGTCTCCAGCTCGCAGAGCTTTGGAAACAGCCCCATTTGTTTTCCATGGGGAATTTTTATGCAAACGGGTCACACACAGGTGACATTTGCCAAAACAAGCAAGCAGTTACAGAAGCAAAACATAGCCTTGAGTCGCAAAAGCATAAACAAAACATAATCTTGACTTGGTCGGCCTGATTGATTCTACCAATGCTATTGATGCTATTGATACTTGATTACAAAGTCAGAACATATTCTTGGATTACAGAAGTCAAAATACAACCTTAGGTGAGGGCAAGCTTCTGACTTACACAATGGCTCAGTTTAACCCGTGATAAATCTTGAGGCTATCTGCGGTTGTCATCAACCGGTGTTCATGATACACTCAAAGCTTGTTAGCCTGGGAAGGTTGAAAGAGAGAGAGATATTCTTTTGGGTTTTAGCAAGGATGTAAAAGGCTAAGGTTGATACTGGCCATTCGACCTGGAGTTTCTCTCTACCAAGAGGTTTTGCCCTTAATCAATAATTTTGTTCTGATTTCTGATTTCACATTTTTATTCCCATTGACATCCTTTTCTTCCCAAGGGAAGGGACTTAGGGGAAAGAGTAAGTTTCCTGCAGCAGGAGGGACTGAGGCTAGACAATAGAAGGAGCATTCTGCCAGTGAATAGTAACTTGGATACCTTGATTTCTGATGGAGATGATCACAATCATGAGGAGACTCTGTCCCAACTCCATCCCACAGGAGCCGGGAATGAGCGTATTGGACTAGAAACGGCTGACAAGTATGTTTTCTAAAACAAGTTGACTAGGTACGGTGGTGCATGCCTATAATGGTGCAGTACTCAAGAGGCTGAGGCAGGAAGAGGATGGAGAGTTTGAGGCCAGCCTGGGCTCCTTAGTGAAGCCCTTGTCTGACAATGCAAGAATAAAAAGATGAAAGTTCTTATGAAATCTGGATTTCTGGAATCTTCTGAACTACGGGGAAGGGAAGTCCTTAGTGAACAACCATATTCTAGAATCCTGAATGAGCTCTGCTGGCCTCTGGTGAGATTTGTGTATAAGAGTCCCCTGTAGGCAGGGCAAAATTAATTCGAATCAAAACCCAGGCAAGTCTAGAGTCACAAAACAAGAAGCAGGGACAGGTACACTCAGGCTAGCAACGCCAGGTGGGTTCAGAAAGATGGAGCTGCTGTTAGTGATGGCTAAGCTGTTGCCAACAGCGATTGACAGGGCTCTGATGATCTTGGCTGGCCTTCTGTTAAGACATAGGGTTGGAAGCTGCTGAATGAATCTAGAATCCTGGGGTAGAAAACAGGGCATCAGGTCCACCATCCAATCTAATATTTACCCCCACACGCTCAGATTTCAGGAAGTTAACAAAAGAAATTTGGGCCAAAAAAAAAACGCTAGTCATTAGCCAGAAGCCAGGGACTCATGCCTGTAATCCTAGTAACTTAGGAGACTGAGATCTGAGGATCACAATATGAAGCCGGTCCAGGCAGAAAGAGTCCATGAGAGAGACTTGTCTCCAATTAACCAGCAAAAATCACTAAGTGGAGCTGTGAGTCACTTGAGTGAAAAAAACGAAGGAACAGTGTTGAGACCCCAAGTTCAAGCTCCAGTACTGGCACACATGAACAGCAATAAGAATAAAATTAGCCAGGTGCCGGTGGCTCACACCTCTAGTCCTAGTGACTTGGGAGGCTGAGTTCTGAGGATCATAGTTCAAAGCCAGCTTGGGCAAGAAAGTCTGTGGGACTCATCTCTAATGAACCACCAGAAAACTAGAAGTGGAACTGTGGCTCAAAGTGGTAGAGCAAAACGAAAAAGAAAAAAAAAAAAAAAACTCAAGGACAACACCCAGGTCCTGAGTTCAAGCCCCATGACCAACAGAAGAAAAATAAATTAAATTGAATAGCAACAAGATCAATGATGCCAGACATAAATGGTAGAAATAACCACTCATACTCTCGTATAAACTACATTCTTCCATTCTTTTGTAGATACCGGATGTCACCCAAGTACAGGTTTCCAGTCATGCTAAATGACTGCACTGTGGCCACCATCCACTTTCTGAAGTCGCTGAACATGTATGGGGTAGATCGGGCTCGAGTGGTGCTGTGTGGGGACAGTGTGGGTGGGTGGGCGGCAACTGAGCTTTGTAAACTCCTCCGGAACCATCCAGGCCTACCCCGCATCCGGGCTCAGATCCTGATCTATGCCGCCCTGCAAGCAGTAGATTTTCAGAGTCCCTCCTTCCAGCAGAATCACAACATCCCGTTCCTCACCTGGGACATGATCTTTGACTGCTGGTCTTGTCACCTGGCTATCAGCTCTGGGTGGAAAAGCACCATCAAGAAAGGGACCCATTTGTCTCCCGAATTCTGGAAGAAATACAGTAAGTGGTTGGGCCACGAAAACATCCCTGAGAGGTTTAAGAAACGAGGCTATCGGCCCATAGTCCCTGGGCCTGTGAATGAAGATGCTTACCTGGAGACAGCTATGGCTAGGAGTGAAACCTGCACGCCCATCATCACCCCCGATGACATCCTGTCTCAGCTCCCGGAGGCTTGCATTGTGAGCTGCGAGTATGACCTGCTCCGGGACCATTCACTCTTGTACAAGAAGAGGCTGGAAGACCTGGGGGTACCGGTGACCTGGCACCATATGGAAGATGGTTTCCATGGGGTGTTCAACACCCTTGGCTTTGGCTGCTTAGAATTTCCCTGCTCCTTGAGAATTTTAAATTTGATTGTCCATTTTATCAAGGGGTTATAAGCTTCCTTCCTTCCTGCTGGAACACTATGGCCACCCAAGTCCCATAGGACTCTGAGAGATGAAGGTGACAATGAATGGGGCACCCCTATAGAGGTGGTTGTCTTCTTCTTGGTCTGAATTCTACAATCATCCAATGCATGTCCTTCCTAATGAATGGCATAGAAGAGTAGAAGAAATAATTGGGGCCAGGCACTAGTGGCTCACACCTGTAATCCTAATTACTCAGGAGGCTGAGATCTGAGGATTGCAGTTCAAAGCCAGCCCAGGCAGGAACCTCCATGAGACTCTATCTCCAATGAACCACCAGAAAACCAGAAGTGGTGCTGTGGCTCAAGTGGTAGAGCGCTAGCCTTGAGCTGAAGAGCTCAGGGAAATGCCCAGGTCCAGAGTTCAAGCCACATGACTGACCAAAAAAAAGGGCTGGGAAGGTGGCTCAGCGGTAGAGTTCTTGCCTAGCATGCATGAAGCCCTGGGTTCAATTCCTCAGTACCACATAAACAGAAAAGGCTGGAAGTGGCACTGTGGCTCAAGTGGTAGAGTGCTAGCCTTGAGCTCAGGGACAGTGCCCAGGCCCTTAGTTCAAGCCCCAGGACTGGCAAAAAAAAAAAAAAAAAAAGGAATGATTGGGAGCTGGGGGTGGGGGGATAAGACTCTGTCCACATTCTCTGTAGGGAAAATCTAAGTTGACCATCATGAGGGCCCATTGGGGAGAGTGGATCTGTGAGAAATCTACAAGGATTGCTCCCAGAATCCTTGGCTAATGGTCAGACTTGTCTAGGTTGATTCAGGGTGTGTGATAGGAGTATTCAATTGGCTAGACCCTAAAGACACATGGATAGATGTATTATGTCCAGTCTCCAGGGGCTCTTTCCATCATGGCTCAGGAGGTGGAGTTCTGATGTTCTGGGATGGTGGCCAAGGAGAAATCCCTCCTCTCCAGGTGTACAGCGACAGTCATCCTGCTTTTGCCCAGTCTCAGGGCTCCCAATCCTGCCTGCCTGAGCTGGAAAAGATAAGATACACCGGAAGGAGCTTTCCCCCATAACGGTTGGCCCCTAGGGACACATGAAGACTAATAGGAGCTTAGGAGCCCCAAGGCCAAAGTTGAGCTTCCAACCAAGGGCTTTAAAGCAATGTAATAAGGAAGGGAAGCTTCAAGTTAGAGACCCATGAAGACTGAGGATGACCAAACTCAACCCCATCCTAAGCGGAATTTTCTAGAGAAGGCCCTGGGATATATCTCCTTAGTTGTTCTACTTAGACAGCAACTTCCATTTTAAGACAAAGAGCCAACTCAGATTGCCCAAGCCAGACATTAAACAGATGAACCCCAAGGATTGAGCTAAGAATTCTGTGCTGTCAATAGCCTTCTCTTTTCTCCTCCCAGGACTCTTCTGTGTTTATTTTACCTTTGTCTCTGCAATGTCATGCTTACCTTCGCTGGGAGACAGGCTCATGGATGTATTTCATTCTAAACAGTTTAGAACAAAGAAAATCTCACTGCAACTTATTGGCTCTGCTGGGTTTCTGAGCTACCTATCACCAACCAGGAAATGGAATTCATTCTCTCTCTCTCTCTTTCTTTCTCTCTCTCTCTCTCTCTCTTTCTGTCTGTCTATGAATCTATACTTGGGCTTGAACTCTACCACTTGGGCTTGCACTACCACTTGACTCACAACTCCACTTCCAACTTTTTTGGTGGTTAATTAAAGATAAAGAGTCACACACTTTCCTGCCCAGGCTGGCTTTGAACCATGGTCCCCAGCAAGCAGCTTTCTGAGTAGCTAGGATTTACAGGTGTGAGCCACTGATGCCTGGCTCAGAGGATGTTTTGTTCCTTGAAATAAACCTTACTATAAGAAAGGCTGTGTGTATCTGCTCGTGTATTATTCCTTGAGTAGGACAAACACACACACACACACAAAAAAAAAAAAAAAAAAAAAAAAACATTAAGTCGCTGTGTTCTGACCCTGCACTTGCAGTGACATTTCCTTTTAATCCATTCAGTACTAGTTTTCCTAAAATTCACTTATAAGTCCCAGGAATGAAAGAGAGAGAGGTGTGAAGGCTCACAGAGAGCGAACTCCAGGCTAGGCACAGTATTGGGTTATATAAATTGGTCACCTCCCACAAATCCTACAACGTGGGTGTTCTTAAACCCATTTACAGAAGAGGCTCTGTGATACCCTTTGTCTTTGTTAGGAAAATGGAGGAGAAAAAAAAAACAAAAAACAGGCCAGACTCCATCTCAACCGGCAAGGACTATTCACTGAGACACAGCCAGGGGCAGCAACCTTCCTGCCAGATTGGGGTCAGGCTTATATTGGTCTTAACAAGGAAACAAATAGAAAAAAAAACAGGCTGTGGTCACTTAGGGGTGAGGGGTGGGCACTTTTGGTTAGACCAAGAATGGAATTATCTGCTTAGGGTGACAGGAACTTTGCAGTCAAATGCGACAGCACATACCTGGTATTTTGCCTGATGTCTATATGTGCCTATGGTAATGGGGCAGGAGTCAATCCTTCAGTCTTTACTTCCTGGATCTTTCTAGTCCAGCTGAAGGCTGACTCATCTCATAGGCTGCAGAATCTCATAGTTTGCCCAAAGCTATATGGTCACCCAGGATTATCCTGACCTGCCTGAACAGAAACTTTTGTTAGGCTCCATAATGGGTTAGCCCAGAACTGTTGCTGACTTTTCTTCCCTGCCATTCATCATTAAAATGAAGGACAAGCTGGGCATCAGTGGCTCACATCTGTAATTCTAGCCACTCAGGAGGCTGAGATCTGAATATCGCAGTTCAAAGCCAGCCCAGGCAGGAAAGTCTCATGGACTTTGACCACCAGGATACCACAAGTGGTGCTGTGGCTCAAGTGGTTGAGTGCTCCCCTTTAGCTAAAGAGCTCAGGAACAATACCCAGGGTCGAGAGTTCAAGCTCTATGACCAACCAAAAACATAAATAAAATACAATGAGGGCTGGGAAGGTGGCTCAGTAGTAGAGTGCTTACCTTGCATGCATGAGGCCCTGGATTCGATTGCTCACCACCACATAAGCAGAAAAAGCCAGAAGTGGTGTTGTGGCTCAAGTGATAGAGCACTAGCCTTGAGCTGAAGAGCTGAGGGACATCGCCCAGGCCTAAAGTTCAGGCCCCACGACTGGCAAAAAAAAATACAATGAAAGACATTACTAAGCCACATGATCATCCTGAATAATTTTTTATTCAAAAAGTGGTCAGCTACTGCCTGATCTAAGTCAGGTTGAAAATGTTAAGTGCTATTTTAATTGTTTTTGCTCTCTGGGTTCGTTACTTTCTTGTCTGTAGCTTTCTCCATGTCCAAATGACTTTAGAATCAGTTACTGATTGCACCTCTGTTTCAATGCACGACTGAGATGGCCAACTGCCACAGCTCAGGGCAGGAGAGACCCAGGCAACCCAGGCACTTCTATACTCTCAGATGGAAGTCTTTTCTCAATGGATTGCCAGGACTTTCCTACAGAGATTTGCCAGATTGCTCAGAACACTATAAGGAACAGTGGGTTGCTTTCCACATTGCTTTCTTTGGTCAATTAAGACAAAGGCCTGGGCCAGGCAAAGTAGCAGGGTATAAAATTAACCCTCAGGCTGGGAAGGTGGCTCAGTGGTAGAGTGCTTGCCTTGCATGCATGAGGCCCTGGGTTCGATTCCTCAACACCACATAAGCAGAAAAAGCTGGAAGTTGTGCTGTGGCTCAAGTGGTAGAGTGCTAGCCTTGAGCTGAAGAGCTGAGGGACAGCACCTAGGCCCAGATTTCAGGCCCCAAAACCGACAAAAAAAAAAATTAACCCTCAAAAATTAATGGCTTTTCTGAATGCCAACAATGAGAAGAGTGCCGCTGAAATCAGGAAAGCAACTCCTTTTGTAATAGCCCCACCAAAAATAAAATTCCTAGGAGTTAACTAAAGAAGTGAAGGACCTCTATGATGAAAACTTTAAAAACCTGAAAAAGGAAATTAAAGCAGAACTTAGGAAGTGGAAAAACCTCCCATGCTCCTGGATTGGGAGGATCAACATCATAAAAATGTCACTACTTCCAAAGGTTATCTACGAATTCAATGCGATACCTAACCATCTTCCAACCTCATTCTTCAATGAAATAGAAGAAGCAATCAAAAATTCATATGGAACAATAAAAGACCCTGAATAGCAAAAACAATCCTTAACAGAAAGAACAGTGCTGGAGGAATATCAATACCAAATTTCAAAGTCTAATACAAAGCCATATTAATCAAAACAGCTTGGTACTGGCACAAGAACAGACCTCAGGATCAATGGAATAGAACTGAAGACCCAGAAATGAACCCACAGATCTACAGCCACCTAATCTTCAATAAGGAAGCTAATAAAATAGAACAGAAGAAAAACAGACTCTTCAGTAAATGGTGTTGGCAAAATTTGTTAAACACCTGTAGAAAACTAAAGCTAGATCCTTATATATCACCCTGCACCAGAATTGACTCCAAATGGATCAAAGACCTCGAAGTCAAAGCAGACACCCTGAAAATATTACAGGAAGGAATAGGAGAAACTCTAGTGCTCCTTGACACAGGCTGAAATTTTCTTAATAGAGACCCAGAATCACAAAAAAATCAAAGAAAGGTTGAACAAATGGGATTGCATGAAATTGCAGAGCTTCTGCATGGCAAAGGATATAGCTAGCAAGATCAGTAGAAAGCCAACGGATTGGGAGAAGATCTTCACTAGCCATACAATGGACAAGGGTCTCATATCTAAAATATACCTGGAACTCAAAAGATTAAATCCCCCAACAACAAATGGTCAAAGAAACAACTGTCCAATAAATAAGTGGGCTAAAGACTTGAAGAGAAACTTCTCTGAAGAGGAAATAAGAATGGCCAATAGACACAGGAAGAAATGTTCAACTTCCCTAGCCATAAAAGAAATGCAAATCAAAACAACAATGAGATACCACCTCACCCCAGTTAGAATGGTTATAATCA